TTAATTAGATTTGTGGCCATCACTCACTGCTATGTACCTCCTCATCCTCATGATAAAAAATAATATGCCCGCTCACGTACCACATTACAATTATTATTAATATTAAATGAACAAACATTAAATTGATGTTCCTTAATTTAAAAACCTGCCGACTTTGTTTACAATACACAATAAATATAATTTAAAACATATTACGAAGTTAATGATATTTAAAAATTAGTAGTTTTGGAACTTAAACTAGTAGTTTTTGTATCATGGATCTATATTTAAGGCTTTATAACATACCAAATCTTGTTCCAGACTAACCCATCCATACCTACACCTCCTCCTCCTCCAAAAATCAGGATCCTATCAAATATTCTTTTTAAACCAGCAAATCAAACCAGTCAGATCGAATTACCTGTACCCTCTACTTCTTCTCTAAATATTCCATATGAAGAACCACTGACGCCAAAGAAACAAAAAATATTACATACACTCTACTCTGTCCGGGCAACAAGTGCAAAAAGAAAGCAAAAATTAAAATTGCTAAGACGACAACTTTCTCGAAAAGTGAATAAAATTGCCAACTGAAAAAATATATTAAATGATTTAAGTAAAAAACGTTTTATACAGGAAGATGAGTTAGATATAATGTCATAACTTGGGGGCCCCATCGAGATATGTTAAATTAAGGTGCCTATTCAAGTATACTTCTGATATTTGCGTTAAATAAAAATAAAAATCTGATGTGTCCAACACATGACTTTCCTATCTACTTATTATAGGCTTATTCTGGTTATTTTGTATAACCTATTGTAGCACCTTTATAAATGTTTAAATGATAAACTAAATATATACATTTTCAACATACATCTAACTCGAAACATTTTTCTATACCCAGATAACAATTATACATTCTTAGCATATTCTTAGTATATACTTTTTAACAATATGCATATGCTGAGAATATACTTTATTTGCATTTGGTACCTTCTCACAATATGCTAAGCATATGTTACGTGACGTTGTTTATACGTGCTATGCAGATACTGAGAATGTACTTCAAGTATGTGTACAGTATGCAACAGGTATCTACTTTAATTTGATAATACGTTCTAAGTATATGCTAAGTATTTAAATATAGCATATGCTAGGCATATACTAGACACCCTAATACAGGATGTTTCATTAATATTGAACATTAAAATTGTAGAAGTGTATATAATGAGTCTTTATTTCAAAGAATTCATACTTATTTTTATTACAAATACTTTCTTTGGCCTTAACCAATCAATATTTTATTGTATCAATGGCTAGAGTTGCATTTGCTTGATTCCATTAGATCTTCATTGAACCTAAAAAATAAAAAAAAATTAACAACTTGGTACATATACAAATTAAGTGTACATAGCTAATGGAATATTTTAAATATTTTTGTCGAACATAAAACATTAAAAATTGTACATGGCATTCCAGTAACAAAAACAAGAGTTACATAAATAATTATGATGTTTACTGAAAGTTTAAATATATTTTTGTTAATTACTTACTACCATTTTGTAGTTTTCGTCCTCCTTTAGCTAACTTTTCTAGTTCTTCCAGGTCAATATCTGGCCTTACAGGATTTTTTTCATAGAAAGTGTGTATGTCATTCTGGTAACACTGTATTTTAGTTTCAATCCACAATTAGTATTAACCATATTAATAAATTCACACCGGCAATTAATATTTGGGATATCCTGTATTCTAATGTCACTTAGGTCTAGGTCCTAAAAACTACAAATATAGTAAAATGTGTTTATTTTTATATAGAACATATTAATTAATTTTTATTAATTTACTTACCTCCTATAAACAAACTAGATCAAAAAAAAAATTGTAGGTTATGTTATTCTTCTTCTTCTCTTCTATTTTAGTTTCAGAATGTTTATTTATTTATTTATTTATTTATGTATTTATAAATATTATTGGCCTAAACACTCAACATTAGTGCGTTTGGTAGGGAATTATTAAATCGGCATATGGGAAAAATTCATATAGATATGTACATAAACTTGTTTTTGCATGTATTTGGTGTTAATTTTTACCTGCGAGCATTTAGAACATTCTCAGAATATGAGGTACATGCTGGGTATATGACTTTTAGTATCTTCTAAGAGTGTCCTGTTATAGCACGTGCTTAGTATATACTTTTTGGAATATACTTTTAAGGCACGTACTCAGTATATACTTTCTAGAATATACTTTCAAAGTATATTCTAGGTACGTTCTAAGAACATTCTAAAAGGATACACTAAAAAGAACTTAAACAGAACGTTCTTGGTATATTCATAGAACATTGATGTTATGTGGATATTCATCAAAAACGAAAATACAGAAAAATTTAAATTAAGCAATTTTCCTCCAATTTTTCCATTACGGTTTATTTTAGAAAAATCATGTAAACACAAAAATTATAGAGATCGATATCGCAAACAACTTTTAGTTTAACAATTTTCTCAAAAATCAGAATTTCGCACATTTTGTCAAATTTCTCGAATAAGGACTATTTCAAGAAAATTTGACTAAAATCAAAAGTTATAGATAAAAATATTAGAAGTCATTTTTATTTGACCAATTTTCTTCTTCAAACATAAATAATAGATATATTCCATAAAATATAAAGACAGCCTCCCATAAAGTACCCCCCCCCCCAAGATGTTCCGACGTCCAAAATCTAATCCTTTCACGTCAAGCCAAAATAAAACTTAAGTTTAAAATTTAATGTTTTTTCCTTTATCCGTTTTTGAGTTTTCTTCAAAATTCGAAATTTACATATTTTCTTAAATATCTGGAATAGGTACTGTTTATTTTAGAGAAATTTATTTGAACAATTTTTAAAAAAAAAATATTTTTTTACATTTTGTCAAATTTGTCGAATACGGACCATTTTAAAAAAAAATTCTATTGAACAAGAATTATAGATAATATTATTGTAAGTAACTTTTAATTAAAGAATGTTCTTCTTTAAACGTAAATAAGAGATATATTTTATAAAATATAAAAATGACCATTCATAAAGTACCCCTCCCCCCCAAGATGTTCCCACTTTGTCCAAAATCTAATCATATAACGTCAAGCCGAAATAAAACTTAAGTTTAAAATTTAATGTTTTTTCCTTTATTTGTTTTTGAGTTTTCTTCAAAATTCGAAATTTACACATCTTCTCAAATATCTCGAATACGCTCCATTTTAGGGAAATTATATATGGGATAAAAATTATAGAGAATTATATCACAAACAACTTTTATTTAAACAATTTTTATAAAAAATTATTTTTTTACATTTTGTCAAATTTCTCGAATACGGACCATTTTAGGAAAATTTTGTATAAAACACACACACACACGCACGCACATACGCACGCACACACGCGCGCACACACACACACACACACACACACACATCATCTCGAAAATAGTCAAAACGGATTCAGGGGACCCCAAAACGTAACAATCCGTCGAAATCTCGAGGTCGAAAAAATCATGATTCCTATACTTTCCTTATCTGTATACAGATAGGAAAGTAAAAAGCCATCTATCTCCGTAAAACTCTTAGATATTTTCCAGTATAATTTCTAGCGTAAAGGTCACACCTAAACTATTGCCACTTTGCACTTATTCACACATTAATATTTAGTTTCAAGAAAAATACTATGAGCACAATAGTTTTAAGTCACTTCAGAATTTAAGAATATTTAGAGTATAAATGGGTTTAAAATGAGGCAACTCTTTTCATCATTTTTTATTTTTAATAAATCATTGGATAGGAGAAATTTTCTGATTAATAGAAGCTCTCATATATTACACCAATAACCATTCCATATCTATAATTAACATAATCCCAAAACTCTTTCACAGCATCATAATGGACTACTTAACTTATGACTTCCCTAAGTGGCATAACTCCACAAGTAGAACTAAATTTGGTTTCTTATGCTTACTTTCTTTCGAAAGCCCTGGAGATAGATGCTGTATATACCGACTTTTCCAAGGCTTTCGATAGAGCGAGTCATGAGTTTGTTAATTCAATAAATGGAATAAGAGTTATATTTTAAATAGAACACAAGTAGTCAAAGTAAAACGCACTATTTTCACAATTACTCTGTTCCTTCTGGAATTCCGCAAGGTTCCTATCTGTGACCCCTTTTTTAAGTCAACAGTCAACGATGTAACTTTCGCTTTTCGGCATACTATTAATGCTATTATTTTGCAGTCTGAAATTAATCATTCATCCGCTTGGTGTCAATAGAACGGCATGGATTTAAATGTGGGAAAATGTCACATTATTCGGTTTCATCGTTTTCCAACAGCTCACTATATTTGACACACCGTCAATTGTCAACTTTTAGATATTGGAAAACAATTTATAGATCTTGGCGTTATTTTCTTAGGAACATTGCCTTTAAATAACAATTTTTTTTATGATTATACAATAACAATGGAGCAATTTTTAAAGATACCTTCTCTGGAAACCAAAATAAAACATAGATACCTGTTGTTATATTTTAATCTTGTTAATGGAAGTTACTGATTGTCCTAAAGTTCCATCCGATACTTAGATTTTCAAATTCTCTGGGTAATATATTTGATTCATCTGTTAATAGATTTATGAACAATATTCAAAACTTATTAATGTAATTTATAACTACTTTAATAATTTTAATGTAACCTAAATGGACTTGCCCGTAAATATACAAATAAATAGATAAATAAATAAGTGTAACGAGTGTATTTTCCTTGATGGGCGATTTATCATAAATTAAATTCAGAATAATTATTTCTAATTTGTTATAACACAACCTTTTCTTGTCAACCATCAATCATAAGTCACTTTCGACAATTGATAACTGACTTAATTTCCGACATCAGTGGCAATCAATGGCATAGCTTCCGACATTGACAAGTGACATAAGCGATAAATTCAAACGGACGGAGATGTATGCTTGCAAACGTAACTCTGTATTTGTATTTTTTCAGGTACAATATGCATAATTTCGTCAGAGATGCACTTCGGTTGGACCTCTCCCTCCCTACCGGCTTTGACGGACGGCAGTTACAAATTCCGCATCACCAATAGTGAAGCATCTTGGTTGGCTGTGATCCTGCTAGCAGGAACCGTTTTGGGCGCCGTCATAGCCGGCAGACTAACCGATATTTTGGGTAGGAAAAAAATCATTTTAATCACATCTGTACCGCTGTGGATAGGATGGATCACTATTGGGCTGGCCAAAAGTTCCACGGCTTTATTTGTGGCCAGATTTGTGGCTGGAATTTCTAGCGGGTTGTCGTTTTCCACCGTACCAATGTATTTAGCTGAAATTGCAGAGCCCAAGATAAGAGGTAGGTATTTAAAAATATTAAATTTTTTCGTTTTTTTTTGTATCATGGAATAAACACGATAGACCTAAAGAAGTGTTGAAAAAACCGACAAATCATTATAGTAGGAGAACCCACTGTAATTTAGGGCGTCATCTGATAACGAAATTAAATATACTCCAAAGGTATGTAACAACATTCTACTTTTACCAAACAGCACCTGTGCCAAACACTGTCCTGAGCAAAGTGCTTAAAGTAATTCATTTCTTATACAAAAAACCACATAAGATATGACAGCAATAATTTTGTTTGCCCTAAAAATGACAATCCCAATTCATTGTGAACATTGCTTTTGAACCTGAATTATTATTTGTATCTACCTTTTAAACCATGTGTCTGTGAAAGGAAGAAAGGTGCATTGGAAAAACCCCCTATATCTATGGATAAACCGTTTGCCATAAATAGTCAATAATAATAAAAAAATTATAAACTGTTCCAACAACTATCAGAAACCAGTCACTGACACCAGGATTTTGCGAAGTTGATTATTTCAAGCGCCAAATTATATACTGCACAGAATCCTGGTGTCAGTGACTGGTTTCTGATCGTTGTTGGAACAGACCGCTTGTTAGACAAATCTTAGTAATTTTTGTCATTTCTATGACAACCTATACAAATGAATCACAGTATTTAGTACACACATAAATCTTTAATTCAGCAAAAATGGATTCATATTATTAATGGTTTTTTTAATAAGATAGACGTTTTTTGTACGATGTTAAGGAGAAGAAAGAGTTTTCCTTTAATAAAGTATTCACGAAAAGTTTGATTATGTTATTTTCTGGAAAACTTCCGAATATAATCAGGTAATCGTTGTATTAAATTCTATTTTTCCTATTTCTCATTTTCGACAACCATGATGAAAATGATATAATAAGCTTAAAACCATGATGTTCGCTTCGCTTCTCAATTGTAGTTTACCTTTTAAAAACTGTTTTATTTGTAGAAGAACACTTGATGCCGCCCATAGAATATTTTATTAATTTTTTCAATGATTTCTGCCTTTTTTGATCTCTAATTATATGTTATTTTAATTTTTTTTTAATAGTTAAAAATGGATTGGTCTTTGAAACCGTTAAACAAAGCATATGTGCGGAAATTCAATGCCCATCTGCATACATACAAGCTATCGTATGACGAAACCAGAATTGTAGGTGGGGATTTGGAATTGGAAACCAAGTGTCTACAAAAAACACTACAGGATTGTTTAAATATTTCTAAAAAAAAAGATTATATAAAAGGTGATAAAATCAAAATTATTGCTCAAAATCCAGACTTTAATAATGTATTATCTACGGAAACTAGTACTAAAGTAGTCTTCTGGGTGGGGATTACGAGCATGGTTTTACATTGGAGGACATTAAGCACGCAGAAAAATTATTAAACGTACAAATTAAAATAATATGTGAATTTTAATACAATAATTTACGAGGGTTCTAATTCCCCCACAAAGTTATATCTGTATAAAAATAAAAATCATTTTATCGTAATTAATAATATGACCGCCTTTTATGGAAATGGTTATTACTGTCAAAAATGTGACACAAAATACAACAACAAAGGCAGACATAGATCTAAAAAAACCGTCATATGGTCGTTGTGTAAGCATCCTAAACACAACCTTGCCACCAAAAATAAGATTTACTGTAATAAATGTTTTGTTACAACGAGGATTGTTAAAAAAATCACGAAGGGACTTGTGCCGAAATCCTTAAATACCCTGGTTGCAACAAAATATGCACGGATAGTGATTGGCACAGGTGCCATTTGGAAAAGTACAATGTTTCTACATTCCTTCGGGGCACAGTTTATTTTGTTATCAGCCAAAAATTGCAGTTGGCTCTTGGGCTATTATAATCTTTATTTTTAAAAGCAAAGGATACCAATGAGGTAAAGAACATTATACACCAAATTAAAAACAAAAAAGCAGCAGGATACGATAATTTAAAATCTGAAAATCTACAATCATAAAGTGTAATTAATAATAATTCTGGCAGATTTACGAAATTACCAAATGAGTCTGGCAGCATCTTTAAAATCGGAAGAACATAATATTTTTGCTTTTAATTGGGTTTGAAAATTTGTCACATGATAGATTATATTATAATTTTATAAATATACACGTGTGGCTGACATTTACAATCACGAAGGCCTTGCCAGACTCACAAGTAATGTACGACCGAAGGTTTGGTTACGGTTTCGGCCAACTTCGGCCTAAAATAAGAGTTTTGACAACAGTTTCGGTTACGGCGGAAAACTGGCCGAACTGCAGTCGAAAGCGAAACTATTTTCGAGAGTTTTCGTATTACACTTAATGGCGATTGTGCTGGGTGCCATTCCTACACAGTGCACATACACACAATACACTTCTCTGCTGTGTCCCTGGTCTAATTTATTCGGATCGGAAGATCAATTTATTAGGTGAAAACGTGGAAAAATATTATCTTTAACCTACAACATTAGACTGTCTAATTTTTTTTTTTTTATTTATGGCCTAGGTGTATGTACCTAATATGCCAGTCTCAAGTTTGTGTTTATCTCAATCATTTGTGTTCTATGTAGGCTTTGTTACTGTTTCCCAGCGCCACTTCAGGAACATCACTGTTAATTAGAACCCAACAGTGAATGGTCGAGTGGGGAATCCTACCAAGGCATCAGAATTAATTTTAAATAATTAAATTAAATAAAAAAATCCCGGCCAACGGTGGGATTCGAACCTGGGACCCTTGGATCCGCAGGCAGAGACTCTACCACTGAGCTACCCACCCCTGACTGTTTAATTATGAATATTAATTTAATTATAAGTAACAATCATGTTTTATTAGCTAAATTCGTTTTTTTTTTTTTTAATAAAAATTATAAATTATATATTATTAGTTTTTGATACAAAAAATTTACTGCCGATGTAGAAAGGATTGCTACTTTGTAATTCACTCACTTTTTTTAATTTCAAAAAAATATGTCAATAAATTTATTATTGGTTTTTTTGTCACATAAATAAATGGATATTAAGTAAATGTAGCGAACATTTATAATACAAGTTAATTAGTCTAAAACAGCCAAACTCAACCTACGGCCCGCGGGCCGCATGCGGCTCTCGAAGCTTTTTTTGCGGCCCGAAATACTATTATTAAGAAGGTGCTTTTTAAAACTATAGGTTTCTGATTTTAAAATTCTGAGCAAAATGTGCGAAAACATTCATCGGTCGCTGCGCTAAATATCACATTAATTTTTAAATAAACGCAAGAACAAGATGGCTTTACTTTCGGCATTTTCCAGTTAAGTACACCTTCGTCTCCAAAATATTTCAAATAATATACGGCATAAAAAAGACAAATGTAAGCGAAGTATTTATGATAAACAGAGGGTCAATAAAAAGTAACTCCATATTAATACATTCACAATATGCTCAAACAAGAACAGTGGCATTTATAGAGAAATATAATCATAACGTTGTATTCAGTTGCTAATAATGTGTCTACCAAAACCAGATAAGAGGCATATAACTTATTTTTGTTAATTGTATTTAGTCCGATTATTAACAGTGATTTTGCCAAAACAAGATACAGGCTAGAACACTTATTTTTGGTGAATATATTTGTTGAAATACTTCAACATTTTTCCCAAGCCATTTGTTCTGTATTGCCTAGAGCCGTCTTTGGCATTTTTCGATTGGTCCGATATCGACAAGGTGATTATGTCACCCTTTCTTTTCAATATACAGCTAACCTTTAAAAATCAATAAATGATAACAAGTGATACTCGAATCGCAATGGTGAGTGATTGAATAATCAATCCGTAACGAGTGATTGGTCAAGCTATAACGAGCGGGGATGCTGACGCTCGTCTCCATATTGTTTTCGCGTTAAAACGACCAGAAGCACTTCTTAAATCACCGAAACACCAGCTTTTCGTATTGCTTGAATCACTCGAGCCAGAGGGATGCCTGAAAGGGTGAAAAAAGCTCTGAGATACAAAAAAGTGCAAGACATTAGTAAGCAAATCAGGTAATGCACTGCTGCACCTGTTTAATGTCACCATTATTATCACAATCTACCTGTATTCAATAATGTTAAAGAAACGGTACCTGAACCTTCTATCGAAGATAGTGACACAGATATTGAATATTATGACCTGCATGAAAACAGCTAAAATAAGCAAAGTGACGGTTTTTTTTCTTTTTTCTTTTTTCTCAATTCTTTTTCTTTCTTTTTTTTTGTTACAAATTACAGATTCTTAGTGAATACTTCCTTATTTGAGTTATTGTTTATTAAGCAGTTTGAAGCTTTTTCTAATTTTTATTCAATTTTAAATTTTAGGGCAGCGTTTTCTCGAAACTCTAAAATTGTTTTTGCAGTAACCCGATAGGATATATTTATGTTTTGTATTTTATTTATTAGATATTCCCATTAACTAATTTTAAATGGATGGCTTAAATAAAGGCTCATCATCCAAAAATATTGCATCCCGTGTAACATAGCAAATATACGTAGGTGGCCCGAAGGAAAAAAAGGTTGAGTATAGCTGGTCTAAAACAAGGTTTACAATAAGATATTGCAAATTTCAATAAGAAGTTGCCTTAAAAGAAAGTTCCTGTATCTGGTTCGGTTTCGGCCGAAACTAAGAAAGGAGCCGAAATTCGGTTTTTGTTTCGGTTATAAAACCTTGTTTCGGTCGGATCTGACAAGCTAGTTACTTAAACGAGGAGAGGAATAGTAATCAAACATGCCGAATTTAACGCGCCTGATTATCATTAGACGAGTCTGGCAAGGTTTTCGGGGTGTTCCACATTAGCCAGATTGTATTTTAATGTGATATATTATACATTATATAGTATGATATATTATCCATACTCATAGATTAGCCAGATTTTTTTTTACCCAACTTCAGTATACTATATTATATTAGATAACTAGGGCTAGGGCTTTAGCCCTCCCCCTCTCCCAGATCTGATGGCATAACTTCGCCCATGATTCCAATAGAACATGCCCCAACAATTAAAAAAAAAACAATTTATTTCGTAATTCAAAAGTTTTAAAAACTTTTTCTGATTCATAGTGTAATGCGAGCAATTTTAGTATTCAGTCATGCTCTAATCCCTCTCTGTCTTATTTGGCGTTTGAGGCTCAACTTGTCCAATTATCATACATAATTAAACCCCTTAAGACCAAACATATGTGACTACTATGGCGAAGGCGCTTTCGAGTACATTCCAGATTGAATGTGATAATGTTACTAGTGTTGGTGAGAAATTTTAAATGTGTATATAAATATTGGTGGAAAAACACAGAGCAGTTAGTCGTATATATAAACAGTTGTGAAGATGAATAGTGAACAGTTTAAAGACATTCGAAATATATAAATTAGAATAGTATAGTTTTAAAATAAATAATTGTTCAAATAAATTATTAACAAATAAACTGTTGTTTAAAATAAACAAACGCAACAATAGTTTTAATTTTTTTGTTACCGGTTACATTTTCATCAGTTTTTTGTTACGTCTGTTTTTATATTATTGAGAACTTTTTTCAACTTCTCAATAGAAACATTTGCCCCAGAAATTTTGATAAATTCTTCTTTGAGATCTTTGTGTGCATTTTATTCAAAAGAACCTTATGACTTTTTAGTAACTTTGCAAATGTGATAGTCAATTTTAACCGCCAATCTGATTGCTATGATGTTGCAAGGTAATATAAAAGCTCCCTGACAATTCTACAACTTCTTGTTTCATCCTACCTTTCCTTGAATTTCACAAGGAAAATGTTCTATAATTAGATTTGAGCCTTCATGGCTAGTGAATCGGCAAGACCTTTCATTGTGGCCTGACCTTTGATCCATCTTAAGGACACCACATGGATACTTCGACCAAAGCTTCTAATATTCTAGTACTAATCCTGAGCAATTTGGTGGTCTGTTCAGGGTAAGTAGTCCTTGTCTGCTATCCTAATAGATGAGCATGTTACTTTCATGTAATTTCTTTTGTTGCTATGAGAATCTCTGTAAGCTCAATTTGAACTACATTGGCACTATTCACAGCCCATTTTATTTTTATGTGTAAGAATCTGGAATATAATCCAAATAACTGAATATTTTCTTTTTCAGGCTTGGTCACATCCTTGTGTCCTGTATGCGTAGTCCTAGGCGTTCTATCGATCAACGTCATAGGATCAATATTCACCATCGACACCACGGCATACTTAGCAAGCTCTCTACCATTAATATTGTTTATAACCTTTATTTGGATGCCTGAAAGTCCTTCTTATCTTCTACAGAAAAGCAAGCGGGAGAAAGCTATCAAAGTTTTGAATTTATTGCGCGAGAAGAACGAAGCAGTTGAAGAATTAGATAGGATAACGAAGTCATTAGCGGAGAGCACCGAAGAGGGAAGATTGGTGGATTTGTTCATGGACAAAACCAACAGGAAGGCTGTTTTAATAGCATACGGATTAAGGACTATACAACAATGCTGTGGAGCTACAGCATTGACGTTTTACTGTAAAACTATTTTCCAAGAAAGTGAAAGTATTTTATCTTCCAATGTATCTACGATAATTTACTTCTCTTTGCAGTTACTAGTATCGATTCTAGCGATATTTTTAGTTGATATATATGGAAGAAAACCTTTGTTACTTGTATCAACGATTGGTACTACATTGACCCTATTTTCAATGTCTTTTTACTTGTTCATGAAAGACCATACTGGAATTATGGTGTCGCATCTCAAGTACCTACCTTTAATAGCGTTGTTTCTAAATATAATATTTTTCAGTGTAGGTGTTAGGATAGTACCGTTGTTGATGATGGGTGAGGTGTTTTCAAGGAAAATCAAGGGTAAAGCTCTTTGTGTTGGTACCATCTATTACAGCATACTAGCTATGATTTTCGCGAAAGTCTTCTACGATACGAAAGAAGCTTACGGTTTATTCGTTCCATTTTTCGGGTTCTCCGTTCTTTCTTTTTGTAGCATATTTTTCGTTACTTTTTTAGTACCGGAGACTAAGGGATTAAATTTGGAGGAAATTCAGGAGATATTGAAAGGAAATGTGATCGAGCGTACAGACAGTAAGTTATAAAAGATTTAGGTGTCGATTAAAAATTTGTTTTTGTTAAATATTAAATTATTAGAACTGTAGAATTTTGTATGAACAATAAAACAATGTCAGCACATTTGACGTTTTTATTTGAATACATATCAATGAATATTTTCGATTCTTTGCATATTTATACATTTCCTTTGGGGTTATTTTGTACCCGTAAACTTGGAAACTATAAATATCTACTAATGTCAGAACAAATTTTGTGATTTTTTTTACTTTCATAACAATTTTTGTATAACTAAAGTTTTATCGTTAAGTATCTTTGCATTGGTGTCTAATTTTGAAATTTTATTATTGTTATCTTTAGAACCAATCAGAACCAAATAAATCGACTATTTTCACTGACTATTTAAAATCGACTATCCATGCATGGGGCCTCGTATTTATTAATTTTTAGAGATCTAGAAATAATCAGAAAATATACCTATCGACTACGGTAGCGCAGATTTCTACGGGGTCGCATTCATTTGCGAGCCAATTTTCTGGTAAACGAGACACGGTTTCAGATCTTACGGAAGACCATGTGAATTTATTAGCGTGGATCTCTATAGGATTTGATGGATGCCGTATTAGCAAAAATTTAATTTCTGTTGATATGACATCCAGATTATTAAAAATCACCATGCGTTAACGTTTTCAATGATGGTGGGTGGGGTTTTTCGGGTTTTCCTTACCTGTAAGTCAAATGGCACCATCAATCATCTTTAAGTCGCCCCGGAGCGCCACGACAAATAATAATAATAATAGGGGTTAAAATTCACCCGTAAGGGGGTGAATTAGGGAGAGTATTATTATTGTAACTCGACCTTAATAAATTAGCGCCTATTTTTATTGTTACTAAAATTTTCGTGTATTTTGCAATTTATCTTGACATAATTTTATTAAGGGTAATATAACAAGACCTTGATAAATAGTGTATCTAAATTTTGGGTGTTTTTAATACCAATTTGTCGAGATATAATTGTTTCATTAATAATCTGAATAGAGTGAGAGAGCTTTAGGTCGAGGACTCTTTACCCTTTAATCGTCCCACTATATCTGGCTGCCAAGGAGGTCCGACTCCATTTTTGAGCCTTTTTGGAATAACCTTTAAGTCATTGTCTTCTTTTGAGTCTTTCTCAGACTTTCAAGGGTGATTCCGTCTTCATCATTATCTGGCTTGATGATGGTCACCTTCTTAAAACCGGCTCATCTCATTCTTCGAGCCTTTTACAGTACCGTCATTGTCGTTCTAAACAGGGTCGCCTGGAAAGAATGTCTACGTTGCTATGGAGGCGGCCTATTCAATGCACTATCTCTAAGTTATAGTGTTGCAGTCTTTTTATCCATCTAGCAACATGTTCTTCAGGTTTTTTAAAATTCTTCAGCCTCTGCAAAGCGCTATGATCACTTCTAATGATAAAACTTCTGTAAAAAAGGTAAGTATGGAAGTGTCCATCTGTTTTGTATAAATGGAACGATATTTTCAGAAGTGGCGTAGCTCAGTACACTTTCGATGCAAAGGAAAAGATCTTAGTCTATCAAATACTTCACTCAAATTTACTGATATCATCAAAAGTATTTGACAAGATCATTATGTCATTGAGATATACTATAAAAAAATAGACAAGTTTTCCAGGTTAATCCTTTTAAAAACATTTCCATTAGTCATTCAAAGGTAGCTGGAGCATTACAGACGGGAGAATCTGGAATCGGTATAAACCGCTGCCAGTTGAAAAAGCTGTTTTATCTCGATCGTCAAGGTGTACTTCTACTTGCCAGTATCTTCAGGTCTAGCGTGGAAAACCATTTTGCACCTGATGGAGTGTTTAGTGTGTCATCTATTCGTGGGAGTGGATAGCTGTAGTTTTGCTTTATCTGATTTTACGAGTAGATCCATCTTTCTTAGTTATTATATTCTGTTTTTAAACCAGGAGGAGCATTTACATAGGGAAAAATAACTAGATTCGTTACTAAGAGTGTCATTATCGGCCCTAGTCGGCGAACGGCCAATGAGGGGTTAAGACCTGATAAATGTTATATGAGTCGATTTTTTATTGGTCCCAAACAATGGTAGTAAATTTCATATTACTGTAATCTAAAACGTATGTCTAAATGAACTGTCAAATGAAATTCAATATGGCCGTTGATTTGCTGACGTTATAGTTTATCAGAAATATTTTTTTCTTGCTTTTGTAATCGACTTTTTGAGAATAACTATGATCTTTTTAAAATTTCAGTTCCAATTTTCCTTTCCAACTCTACTTTAGCCTGTTCTTGTTAGCTTTCAAATTTTCTTGCTGTTGCTCTAAATTAGCTTTTAAATTTTCTTTTTGATGTTCTAAATTAGTCTTTAAATTCTCTTGTTGTTGTTCTAAGTTAGTTTTTAAATTCTATAAATTAGTTTTTAGATTCTCTTGCTGCTGTTCTAAATTAGTTTCTAAATTATCTTGTTATTGTGCTAAGAGATCTACTCGACTGTTTAGCTGACCTACCTCTTGCTTAAGGTTTTCTTGAATTTGTAGCAAACTATTCATGATTTCCACCTCAGCTGTTTTATGCCTTTCTTTCTTCTTTCCTTGTCCTTTTTACGCCTTTCCTTTTCTTCTTCTTCTTCCTCCTTTCTGCGCCTTTTCTTTTCCTTTTCCTCATCTTCTTCCTTCCTGCGCAAATCCCTTTCCTATTTTTCTTCCTTCCTGTGCCTTTTCTTTTCCTCCTATTTTTCCTTCCTGTGCCTTTCCTCTTCATCCTCTTCTTCCTTCCTGCGCCTTTCCTTTTCCCCCCTCTTCTTTCTTTCACCGCTTTTCTTCTTCCTTCTTCCTGCGCCTTTACTTTTCCTCTTCTCGCTTTTCTCTCTCCTCTTCCATCTTCAAAAATCTTGCTGGGGGACTTGAAGTATCCATGCCTGTTTCGTACTCAGTGGATCTGACAACATGAACATACAACGTCTATCATAAAACTAAACTGTGACGTCAGCATCGTCGACTTATATAGCTCCTTTAAACCTTCTCGAACCGTCCGGATGTTTCTTGACACGGACTATTTTTTTTTCCTTTATTGGTCTCAACTTATACAAGTTATTTATCCAGCACACCTGTGCCAACATGTAAATAAATACAATAAAATTTAAAACACTATTTGGCTCTGTAAAATTAAAAAAACAAAAAGGTGAACAATATTTTTTATAAATTAATATTAGAAGATTTTAAAAATGGCGTGATTATGGCTGTACTGCAAATTGGTTTTCGTAAATAATCATTTAAACATAAAGGGGAATACTGGGGTAAAAAAGCTGAAACCATTTTTTGGTATAAGAATTTTATATTGTCTGTATTATTACTGCATTTCATCAAGATATGACCTAAACTTCCAATTTCACCACAGCTGCAACTTGGGGAGTCAAGGATACCAATTCGGAACAGCAGATGAGCAGAACTATGTTTTTTGACATTCTCTCCTCTTCTTTCACTAGAACTGTTACTTATGGTGACAGAACTTATTCTTTTATTCGTACGTTTCCTATAACAGCCGCAGGCTACTGCAGGGTGCAGGGTAACAATATATTCTGTTGATTTCACATAAAATGCTTGCATAAAAAAAATAGGGTTTGATCATATTGCTATACCTACGCTTTTCTATGGGAACCTGCCAGTTGTTATTGTTTAATGACAGTGGAAGCGCATCATATCGAAACAATATCGAGATAACAAAAAAATAATTTGTTGGTGAATTTTTGTGTTTGTATAGAATTAAAAAATATATATTTTATTAAAAATAAAAAAAAACAGTAGGTATCTAATGGAAAATATAATGTAAAAGTAAATTACGTAACTATATATGTATGTATGTATGAATGAATTTTAACTTTTTTACCGGAACTGAATCCGGATTATCGACGGTCCGGATTTTTAACGTCTGGATTTTTGACTTCCGGAATATCGGCGCTCTACTGTATTTTAATTTTGTACAATCGGTAGTTAAACATTTTGAAATTTTAAAAAATTTTGAAAATATGTAAAATTTTGAAAATACATAAAATTTTAAAAATATGAAAAATGATTCCTTAGATATGAAGGACATCCTTTCTTATTTGAACAACCACACAATCTAATTCTATTGACTGACATTGCTGAATCAAGATTATTTAATGAATTATTCTTTCGTACCTGTATTATGACTGTCTACTATAAAAGCCCGCAACACTATTTCAGGACTCTGTATATACTTGAAAGAAGGCACACTACTATTCTCCTTTAGTAAATAAGCCCAGACCTGCAATGACGACCTGAGATCCGTCTATTGGATATCGTATAAAATCATGAAGTTAACACTATTCCACCCTTTCGGTTTATAGGCCATCGCATATTTAAGTGTGTTAATACTATTAAGTATCTACCTATAGAAAGAAAAAGTATTCTGTAATAATAGTTGATGCCATAATATGCAAAGCTTTATTGGGTTATGTGTTTGCTAAACATAAAAAGTGACACATTTATTGTGGTCAATGTTAGTGGAACAACAATATGGATATTAAGCTTTAAGATATAAATAATGGAGGTCGTCTTCAGAAAAAGAATACAGGTGAGTTACTTATATTCATAAATACAGTAATCAAGATTATCAATTCCTTTAAAATTGTATAATTTTTATTGAAAGGAATCTCTAATAGTAGCATATTATAAATTATAACACGTTAAAAAACATCAGCCAAAGCTCTAAGTAAAGTAAATTTAAAAACACTAATTTAACGTAAAAAGTTTTTTGGACGACATTTAAATTAATTTTATGTTTTTGTAACCAATCTACTTCATCGAAGAGTACATACGAGAGTACACATAGTTCAACCTAGTTGCGTCCAAATATTTTTATCAAAAATACTTCCAAATGAATACCTACATTTTACTAGAAATAATGATAAATTCGGCATATTCTCACAAAATTATAGTTTATTGGTTTGACTATCAGAGGCGACAGTATATTTTTGTCATCGAGTTAATTGAGAGAGGAGATAACATATATACCATACAACCATTCAAAAATAATAGTAGACTGACATTAGGATGGTAACAATATGGCGTCTTAAGAAGGTCTGGACCTGGAATCAGAATTTTAAGTTATTTAACGTGGTCTCAGTAATCTTGATATTTATAATTCAATAATTATAAATACTTACGTGATATTTCAAATACAAATTAAATCACAAAAGAAAATTTGTATCAATATTTATGTGGAGTTTTCTAATTTGAAGATATTTATAAAACTAGTTAGGAAATCCACAATATAGCATTTAAAACGTATTTTTCGAAAAAAAAATTATTAAAATAGATATGCCTGATTAAAAAAATATTTACTATTGTAATAGGTACTAACCTCAAAAAAAATAACTAAAACTTAAAAAGTGTTTATTTACATTTACAAAAATGTATTGATTAAGTAATAAAGCGTAAATGCTAAATATTATAAGATTAATAATTAAACTATTCCCGAATAAGTATGCAGGGTGTTTCAAAAACCATATGACATCGCTCGTGGATAAGATAAATAGTTCCTATTAACACGAGTCCGCAGATGCTTTGTTTCATAGATGCCAGGGTGTTTAAATTTTAAAATAAGTATAAAAAAAATTATAGGGAAATTGTAAATAATCAACAGTATCAAAATCTATAACAAGTCAATAAAAATGACTAGCATACTAGATTTTTTTGGTTTTATTTTTAGCTTCATATTTAACAAAGTTTGATAAAATTGTAGCTCCTAAACCATCAAAAACATGACATATGACAATAAAAAGTGACAAGTAACAATTGACATACACTATGGACATAAACGTTCCGAATTCAGATTAGATGTTCATAGTACTTTTCGTGGATACTTTTTTTAGCAAATTATTATTACGTATTAGTATTACGTTGTGTTAACATAACAGGTAGGTTAAATAGGTAAGTAACAAATAGAAGTTTTGCGAGGTTTTGATTTCCCTCAACAACTTCTCATGAACGTTGCATTTACGTTGTATAGTAACGTTATTATGTTCCCTTAAAGCAACATCGCCAAAAGGCTTGGAAACGTTATGTGCTAGCTGGGATGGTTGTTTCATCGAATATAACATCAGGGGAGGACGTTGCTAGAGCTCTACGCAGACGTTGAGAGCTCTTGGTATTTTTGTCTAATGCGTCAGATGGATAACCATCGAAAACTACAATTATATTTGAGCCGTATAGTAATTTCGCATTCCCTTTATACGTCGCCGTGCTTTCCACACCCACGGGGTACTGGTGTTAGCATGTTAGTTTGAATATCAAATCGGTGACACAGGTTTTTGTTGTATTGTTTCTTCCGTGATTTTAGTTGCAAATAAAAGTAAAAACACATTTTGTTGTAATATTTAATATTTGTTATGTTACACATAAACATAAAAACAAAACACACTTTCAGTAAAAATCTACCAGACAACTAAAAAAAATTGTAATACTTCCTTTTTTGAAATTCTGCAAATTATCTGGCTTACCAAAACCAAATTACATAATTGTTTACTTACCTCAACAACTTTGAACAGCTGTGTCTCAGAATCTATCAGGTGTAAGTTGACATAATTGGTCTCATTTTGTTGGGAATTTAGTGAACTTTATTAACTAAAAAAAGTAACTTTTTTAATATAACCACTACTTAGGGATAAACATTGTCGAATACTAAAAAAACTGTAATACTTCCTTTTTTTTTAATTTGCAAACTTTTAAATAGCCGTATCTTAAAAACTATTTGGCCTACCAAAACCAAATTATTTTCATTTAATTGCAAATTTAGTTTTCTTAAAAAGTGCCCATAGTCCCAGAGAGCACACCAAATCCTTTGGATATCTAATGAACATCCCAATATCCACTGAATGTCCAGTCCATGGTGGATATCTATTTTATATCCATGAAATGTAATTTATAGACATGCAAATGTCCATAAATAATAGTAATTATATAGCAAATTATTAAAAAATTACGCCATTGTGCTCGCCATTGTGGCTAATAGTACCGTTCAGATATTTAAAATTAATTTTTTTAAGGTGTATTCTATATCCCATGGACATCCACTATAAATATAAATATATCAAAGTCTAAGCGCGGACGCAAACCATCGTGGATATCTACTAGATGTAATTTTTGATTTTGCTTCCTAAGTATAGATGGCGATACCACTTTCGTATCTACTCATGCTCAACCCGCCGTAAATGAGTTCGATCGAATTTTTTTGGCAATCACACTCTATTAGAGACTGGAGTCGAGAATTTCCATTTATTGCTGAAGAGTCCTAATAAGGATGACTTTCTCCTTAGTGCCCTTATAGTGGGCAAAATCAAAGGCAGATTGTTGGAAATATTTTTTATCTCTATTTTCTTTCGAGGTTATTCAATAATCATTGGTTACTTATGAACCTCTACTAAAGATACCTATAAAATATTTTGCTGAATATCTGAATTCTATATCCATATTGGATATCCACAAAATATATTCTGTGGATATCTCTGAGATTTCTT